GGAGAAAGCGGCGTCGAGTGCACGTTGCTCCGAGCCGTCCGTGCAGGATACCCAATCTTCTCCGGGGAGATGGACGGGTAGGCACACGACAGTGGGAGTCCGCGTGTACGTGTCGTAGCCGAACATGCGCCACATGCATTGGGTCGCGCATAGGTATCTGCCTCGGAGCCAGTCTGCAATCTCGTCGTCTGAACGATCCGGGGGGGGCATGTCGTACATTGTGTAATCGGGCCCCTTGAAAATGTACTTGTAGAGGTACTCGAAGAGGTTCACGTGCCCCGCGAATTTCACGTTTGCGCGCCCGTCCCACAGGAGCAGAAGTGCGCCGTTGTACTCCACGATGAGTTGGTTGCAGCAGAGAGCGCGCCCCCCGAATGCTGCGCGACCAGAGCTGCAGTTGGGACAGTGGCCGCCGCAATCCCGCCGTTTGTGTAAAGGGTACCCGCGCCCGTCAAACTCGGTCATGGGTCGGAAGGGCCAGGGGCAGCCCTTGTTGCAGGGGTCGGCAGAGTCGCACGGGTGGCAACCGCGATTGCACTTGCGCACCATGTGTCGGAGGATGAGGTCACGGAGCCGGCCGCTGGCACGAGGCAGCTCGCACGAGATGAAGGCGTCCACTTCCTCGGCGCTGGCGGGGGGGCTGGCCGACCCAATGACGATGTGCGCGTGGGGGAGGCCTCTCTTCTGGTACTCGATGACTCGCATGAAGTACTTGGTTGTCCCGCAGAACTCGTGCTGGAGGAATTTGACTATGAGGTGCAGTCGGGCGTGAAACACTCGGACCACTATGTCTGGTCTGTCTGCGTGGGTCTGGCCGCCCTCGAGTTCCCGTTCAATCTCCGGCCAACGGGGGTTGCATGTGAGTGTGATGAACCAAGTCGGGGCGCCCGGGCGGCGGGCGGTCTCCAGCGCGTCAATCCGCAGCCGGCGCAGATGGCGGGGCGACCCTTGCACGGTAGATGGCAAATAATGCCGCTGCGCCGCCATGGGCCCACCCGAAGGATCGGGAGGCGCGTTGGCCAGCATTTCGCAAAGCTGCGAGCGTTTCGCTAAAGACGTTCTCTGCAGAGCCTTGACATGTTGCAAGCGCTCGTCTTCCATCCGGCATAACATGTTGATGACCCACTCGTTGAAAAGCCGGCCAGACAGATGCATGTGCGGTAGTCGGAGCGCCTGCTGACGGTACCACCACATTTGTGTGATCTTGTTGTGGTCAGGCGTGTTCAGGTCTGGAGCCCAGCCTCTGCCGCCGCGAGGATACCACAGGGGGTAGGAAAGCGGTTCGTACAGCTCGCTGAGTGGCGGGATGTAATCGTACTGGTCGGTCTTGTGCAGACGGAAGTAGACGGAGCGAGGCGACGTACGAGCGCCGCCCGCAGAATCGAGTATAGCAGCAACCTCTTGAATGCCTTCGTCCCACTCAAGCCGCAGAGCAGCGTCGGGGCAGCGTGACGTAGTGGTGCTCAACTTGTGGATGGCCGACATGTACGGGTTCCCGTGGAGGACGTGGCGCTCGAGGGCACGGACAATGTTGGGTTTCAACTGCAAACGTTCCGCCGTTTGCGACCGAAGTTGGGGGTCGACGACAATGTACTGCACGGCGTTGGCTCCCTCCGGCGTCCATGTTTTCCTGTACATTGTCCCGTGGATGCGCATGAAGGAAGGTTTGTTGGGCGAAAAACTGGTTTCCCGCTCTGTGGTGCTGGACTGGATGTCGTGCACGGCGAGCCCGAAGAGGTTGTTGTATGCCCGAGAGTGTGCGCTGAATCCGTCGCAGCGGTATGTTTGCAGCAGCGCAGGCCCAAGCGCCGCGAAGTATCTCGTGAAATCGATTGCGTGCTTGCCAAACTGACAGCAGAAGCCCGCGTATTCCCCAGAGAATCGGGCGACGCCACAGTGAGCGCAAATGCAATCCCGAGGCCCCAATGTTATGGATTGAAGGGCCGCAGGCGCGCGGCATACATGGGCGGGCTTGATGCAGGACGAGCACACCCGCGCACGGCTGGGCGCTTTGAGCTGGCTGGGCGCGTAGTGAGTTTTATCTTGGAGTTCCCCGCAGCGTGAGCAAGAGAGGAGCTCTTGCTTGGGGCGTCCGCCGCGACCCTGCGCTGATGAGGTACAGGTGCCGCAAACACGGGCGTGAACGGGCTTTTCCAGCATAGTCTTGCTAAAGAGCGTGCGGTCTCGAAGCTCCCCGCAGCGAGCGCATTGAAAGGTCTCTTGTTTGGGCGTTGCTCTGGATTGCGTTTCCCGTAGGCGGGCACACGATATGCAGGCTCGATTGGATTGCAGCAGTTGGGTAGGGGAGTAAGCGTTTGAAGGAAGACAGTTACCACAATCGAAACAAGTGAATACCGACATGCTCGAGGTGGTATGCGAGTGTCGGTACGGGAAAAAGTTAAAGCCGAAGGCTACGGATGCATGTACACAACGAGCGTGGAGGTAAAAGAACACGGGCTCAGCTGTAAGAAATACGCACGTGGGACACCGAAATCGACAT